AGAATATTCTTCCAAAAAGATCATAGAAATATTGAACAATAGATCAGCATTTGTTATAGACAGCTGACATAGAAGGTACATGGCTACTAAAGCCTGTGCTCTTTAATAATCTGGGAGAAAAAGCACTTAACAGATAATAGTGTTTGCCTTGGGAACAGCAGTTAGGGAGCCTCAAGTGAGGAGGACTTTAGGAACCAAACTAAATCAGCAAGCTCACCAATGTTCAAGGACACGGAGGAGCTAGAACTGCACTGTCACATGCCTGAGACTCAAGTACTGTGTAATCTGTGTGGTATAGACATCTAGGCACCGTTGTGGACAGCAGATGGCTGCTGAATGGTGACAGCAGATGACTATGATTCTGGGCAGAGCGAAACCATAAGGCCTCAAATCACAATCACTAAAGTCAATTCTTGAGATGAAATCAATCCAGCCACTGGAGCAAAAGGGTGTCACACAGCAATGCAGAAAAACAACTCAGTGCCAGGCATCTGAAGGCTCTTAAAAAGCTCCACCCTCCCATTTTCCCACACCCTTCCTCTCCCCACCCCCCCCAACCACACACATATTTCCACATAAAGAAAAAAAAAAAAAAAAAAATAAAAAATTGAGGTTATGCATTTCCTGAAATATGGTTGGCTGAATAAATACACTTACAGAGAACTCTTTGTAAAGCAATAGCAGAATGAATAAGAGTGCATCACTATCATGGGAAATAAAAGGAAAAGTAACCCAACTGCAATTCAACCAGAATCATTCCAAACCCCAAAGGTTGGCCTCTTTTTTTTTTTTTCTTTAATGTGTCTGACATTTTATGGCATCAATAATGCAAACAAAGAGGAAATCATATTTGCAGAACACTAATGCACGGATGTCTAAAGTGAAATACAATACTGATTACTTTTTAAATGAAGCCACCAGGTTTTGATGTGCTGCAGTGGTTAAATTGGTCCATCAAATTCCTTCCTCAGTCCAAAGCAACAGCTTGACCTTCTCTATAACCTTGGATAGCCTTTTCAGCTGTACTCTGATTGGGAACAGTAAATGTTAGTCTGAAGAAATCTTCCTGATGGGACTGATTTCAGAAATGCCAGGGGCACACAACTCCACTTGAAGATGAGGTGAACTACAGGCATGTCACCTCTTCATAGGTGACCCAAAGACTCTGACAAACACATAAAAGAAAACTACTGGTGAAAGGATGGGTGTGAGAACTAGTAGTTCTCTAGAACTAGAGATTGTGCCCTTAGGGTTAGTGACTAATCTATTCTGCACCTGATAGCCTGTGTCTTTCTGCATAAGACTGTAGAGCGATATCGGAGTTTGAAAATGAGGAGATGAAGGAGAAGGTCCAGCTATAACAAATAACTCCCTTCCCTTCCTCTTCCAGTTTTTTAGATGTTAGTGGTTTGTTTTTCCATGAAGAAGTAGATCTCAGAGGTGTATCTTGTCTACCACAGAAAGGATTGTCTCTACAAGTAAAAGTGCAAAGAAGCTGTGATGTTCCTGCCTGGGAACTCTTGCTGCTTGGCCTGATCTCATACTAAAGGACAACAGAGCTTGGTTCTGGCCTAAACTTCCATCTTAACAGCACGAGCACTGAGTTCAGGAGTCAGGAGATTTCTTTTGCCACATCCTCTGATTTGCACTGTTCACTTTTTAAATTCATACAGTTCTGGTTTGGTAGGCAGAGCCAATAGTGCACCTGTGGGCCAGTGAGTAGGGTTGGATGCCATGGTCTCTTGACAGCTGGGAGTTTATCTGCCATTCGGGTCTGATCGCTGCACTGCAGGGATTGCATGTTTTGGAGTTAATCAGTGCAAGCAGCTAATTGCCACTAGTTAACTAGCGCTTTTTAATTGGATCTGTGTTGTTGGGTGGATGTGTGAAGGGAGCTGTTTGTCACTGACAAAAAAAGAAGTCAGCTTTGTGATGTAAGCCTCTTTTGGGAATTAAAAAAAAAAAAAAAAAAAAGTACTGTCTGGAACTACTGTCACTGTGGCAGAGGAAATCAGTTTCAGCAGAAATGGCCTGGATGAGGTTAGAGTCACGCTCTGCTGGGGTCAGAAATGATAGTGGCTGCCCCCCAACCCTTTCTCTTGTGCAGAAGGGTGGGACACTGTGGGCTTCAGCTGGGATTTACAGGAGATACCCCCCATGCATTACAATGAGCTTTGCTGTAAAATTCACTGCACAGAGGTTAATCTAGATGTCAACATTGCCTGACAGCAGTGAAATTACTCCGGGGCAGTGCTCCTTCTGAAGTCTTAATATAACAGTCAATTCCATCCTGCCTGCAGGAAATGAAAGTTTTCTGCTTTGTGTGCGGAATCATTCGGCGCCAATTTTCTCACTGTTTGAAGTCCAGACTGTTTGTGGTCTCGGGATTCACCTCACATTAAGACTTTCGCTTCATTTAAAAACTGCTAGTCAAGTCCTGAGAACTGCAAGGACAGGAGCTGCACAGGGAGAAAGAGAAGAGGGCAGGGGAGAAGTCTTATCTTGCCTACCACTTCGAAATCAAACAGCTTCACCAGCCCTCTGTTCTCAAAAGGGAGTGAATGCAGCAACTCAGCTATCTAAATATCAAGCAATATAGATTGTTGAGGTTGGAAACCAGCCGAGAGAGAGAGAAAGCGTGCAAAAAACCATATATATCTGGACCTCCCGGAGCTATGATTTTCTTTAGAGGTATTTCAGTCCTCCCCTGCTGGGACCTTGTCCTAAGAAAGCAGTAGTTGTGCAGTTAAACACCCCGACTGAACAACTGCTCAAGTTTTTAGCTGTAGGATCAGTCACTTGTGCAGGGCAGGAGATCGGTTCCCACAGAGGATTCCCGATGATGTGAGGAAGTTAGAGATGTTGTGCCTCCTTTGTCCATGGAGATATGCTAATATTGTGGGGTTAGCAGAAGGAAGAGGAGACACTGCTCATTCCTTCCATGTGAAAAGACCTCTCAGATTAGGTTTGCGAGAAATTAAAGACATTGAGATGAAAGCAACTTATCAGCTCGGTTAGTTCAGCCCCTGAAAAAGGGGAAGGAAAAAAAAAAAATGAAATAAAGAAGCAGTAAGATTGTTTTCTTTTCTTCCTCTTTGGTCTCTTATCCCTTTTCTTGGTTCAGTTTTTCAGAGTTGCAAGCAATGGGATTCCTATCACTCCTCTCAGGGAGCTGTTTCACTGCTCAGTAGTGTACTGGGAGGAAATAAGAAACATACAGAAGAGACTGAATGCTCCTGCTTTCCTCTTGCAACAGCAACTGACAGCCTCTGTGTCACTCGTGACACTGCCAGTCTGAATGAATGTTTGAAGACTCCTAACGTTCACCAGGCTTGAGATTCCCACATGCAGTGTGAATGGCAAAGGCAATACAGGAGACATTCCCATTTTGGGGGACTTCACAGCTGCTTAAATAAGCCTTAAATGTTACTGATGCAAGAGTCTAGGAACCTGAAAGTTCATCAAGGTTGACCATTTGTGGAAAGCAGAGTCTGGAGTTCTCTATTTTTGATACTCCTTTGGAGACTAGCTGCATTATATGCTACAGTTCCAAGGCCATATACTTTTCCACCAGAAAGCCACTGCATTACAATAGGGAGCAACCCTTTCTGGGATTTGCTGAAGTATGCTTGTGCCTATCATAGAGGAGCCCTGTTGGTGTACTTAGCTTCTGGCTATCAAAGGAGCCATTGTAGCATAGTATCACAGCCAGCAGCCCATTTATGCTTCTTGTTTATGCTCACCACTGCTTTACAACAAGAGAACACACCTACAGCTGTTACAGAAGCACACTGTGTGCGCAATGGCTTTACTAGCTTAGCTGATTCCTGGCTGGATCATAGAATAGAATTGGGAAGAGACCCATGAAGGCCATCTGGTTCAGCTCCCCTGCACTGAACAGGGACACCTACAGCCTATCAGGTGCTCAGATCCCTGTCCAGCCTGACTTGCAGTGTCTCTGGGGATGGGACACCCACCACATCTCTGAGCAACCTCTGCCTCACCATCTTCATTGGAAAACAAACAAACAAAAAACCCACAAGCAAACAAACGAAAAAACCAAACCATTTTCCTTGTAGCCAACAGAAATCTCTTCTCTTGTAGTTTGAAACAGTTTCTCCTTGTCCTCTCAACAGATAGGCATAATTCACCAAATACTTAGCTATCTGCTTTGCCTTTTGTAAGGCAAAGCTATAACATGATGGAAAATACAGCATTAATAGCAAGACAGCACAATTTTAGGCTATAGCAAATGAGAACAAGCCCAAATGTAGCAGCTGTAGGCACAGAAACAAAAGAAAAAAATAAAAAATAAAAAATAAAAAATAACCCGCTTACCTTTGGAAGACTTCCAGTGGGCAGGGATCTCCAGTGAGATACCCCTACCCCCACTGCCAACCCTTAAATAAGGTTGGGGAAGGGGTGGATCCTGCCTTCACCCCTTCTGGTCTCTCAGCTGCATTGCATTGCATTGCATTGCATGCACCTGAGCTCTCTTGGGTTGGCCCTACCTTCCCACCAGGTGCTCAATCACTGCTTCAGGCCATGACTTAGCATTTCTGCTACACCTTTGTATCCCCAGGTTGAACACGCAGTGGGGCAAAGGATGTAGACATTCTATAGGGGAAAAATGGAGCCCAATTCAATAAAACTTTTTAAAATGATACTAATAAACAGATCACTGTTTCCATGCAGATTTGCACATGAATGTCTGATGATCAGGTGTTCAGAACTACTTATGGCTTTGTAGGCTTGCAGTGACCCAGGTCTGCATTCTTTGAGCCATAGCTGGAATTCAGGGAACCTCACGCACTTGATTTCTAGGAATAGCCTTTCACATGAAAGAAACCAGCTCATGTATTACCATGTTCCAGTCTATGGTCTCAAAAAATAACTTGTTAATGCTGTTTTACAGTTGTATTTAGGTACCGGAAAAAGAAAATAATCACAAACAAGCGTAAACCTTGGCTGTTTTGTTTTCTGCATGGATAAATGGTCCCTTGCTTTTATTGGTTTCTCTCTCCTTTTTTAACCAGGATTGCCCTGTGTTACAGCTAGCTTTTCGTGGTGCTCTAGCATGTTGCTGTTTTCCTTTGCTTTTCTCTGCTTGTAAACCACTGTGCTACTTAAAATTCTATGCCACACTCCCGAAACCAGTCTCAATTTCCCAGCCCAAGATACTCGCCTTCGACAACCAGCCCTTCCCTTCCCTTGGCTTTTTTATTTCCCCACGTATTTTCTCACCTTGTTCCACCCACTCCTGGGGACAAGCAGACAGCTCAAAGCTAATGATGTCTCTCAACAAGCAGCCTCTCTAAAGGCATTCCACATTTTTTGTGTTTGTCTTGCAGCACATGTTCTCAGAATCACCTGTCTGCAATTCAGCACCCCGTGGACACAGGCGCAGGCTTGAGATGAGGCAGTGCAGGCTCTTTTCTGACCCCACAATGTATGCATCAGGGGACATTTAGAGGACCAAATGGTAAGTTTTGAGAGAGACAGGATGGGCTTCTAGTCTGGCAGATCGTTGCATGTCTTCCCTTAGCTATGCTTTAGCTTTTGTCTCTCAACCTGATAGATTATGGTGGAAGGAAAACGGTTTGGAAGAAACGAGACAGGTCACAGATGAACCCCTAAGACTGGAGACAAGTTCACTGCCCACTGTTTGCAGCCCTGGCATGAGATTGCCATCTGTACCATATAGCACCTTAACCACCAAGAAGGCATTATGTCAGTGACACCCATAGATGACAGAGTTGGTGCTTGAAAGCAGGATGCTGCTGGGCTGGGGAAGACTCCGTGGCCCCTTCTTAGCAGTGCCCAAACAAACACTGCTCCCATCTCCTTTTCAACAACCCCCTCCAGAAAGTTGCTGGTAGTAAGGTCTGGTTTGCCCTAGACCTGCGTGAGACCTGTATGTGTTGCCAGCTCTCCCCTCGTGGCAGACAAGGTTGTAGGAAGTATGTCTCTTCAAAATGGAGACTGTGAACTCATTTCTCTTTGCCTCCACATACTTCCCACACTTAGATTTGTGGCATTCTGTGAGGGTTTCCCTCCAAACCTGCTCTTCTTCCTCCCTCCGCTTGCAGTGGAGCAGTGGCAGAGCCTCCACAGGAGCCCCTCTTCCTGCAGGAAAGGTACTGTCATCCATGCTGATCAGCAGCTCCACTTTTGCTCCAGGGAAAGTCCTTCTTGAAATGAGGTCTCAAGGTTCACCAGGAACTCAGCACGGACACTTTCCCTCTTCCCATCCAAAATTGTCAGACCAAAAAGGGATGCAGCAGTTTCAGTCATGTCTCCAAAACAAAAATGAGCCTTCCCTCCCTCCCCACCAATAAACCTTCATCCAGCAGCACCAGCCCACTGGGCATAACGCAGCAGCTGCTGGGAGCCAGCTCTGCAGCACTTCTTATTCTACTCTTCTAAGCAATTGTTCCCGATTAGCTCTGACAAAAAGACCTTCTGTCAAAGCAGTCATTGCACTTGGTGGGGCTAATGGTAAAGCAGTCAGACAGCCTGAACCTTGGTCTCAGCCATTTCACATCTTCTGGTGGCCCATCTCCTTGCCTCTCATTGACCATTTATTCCTAACCACGTTGCACCAAATCCAGGTGTGATGCTCAGCTCCTGAGCTCACCTCGATGTCAGGAGAGTACAAAGAGCTGGCAAAGGGACGTGTAATGGTGTTGGAGGACACAAGGAGGAAAGGAGGAGGGAAAGGAGAATATAGCTGTTGTGCAGAATAGTTATAAGGGAATAAGCATTGACTATGGAAACACAGTGACTCTAGGTAATCTGCCTGTGTAAAGGCCAGCGAAATTGGCTGAAAGAGAAATGAGAGCATAAGAGCAAGAGGGGAGTGTGGACAAAACAGTGGTTTTGCACAATCTGGCACTGTGCCTGAGAGCCACAAGAGCAAGAGACCATTTGGGGTTTGGGGCAGGCAGCCCCAGAGAAGAGTTTTCTTTTGGAGGCACTGGGCTAGTACCACCATCACGTATTTTTCCCTGGATAGTCTCCAGTCCTTTTAGCCAAAGCAGCCTACACACAAAAAGAGCCAGATCTGGCAACTTTTCGACTAATCTTTCTCACTTCAAGGATGAACCTAAGTTGTAGATGAGGAAAACTAGATATCCTCTCCCAACAGAGCGAGTAGCTGCTACGGAGGGGTGGCATGGCACCTTGCTTGTGTGTGTGGACTGCCATTTCACACCCTGACCCTGACCATACCACCTTTGGTGCCCATGCTGTGAGCTGCTGGTGTCTGTCCAGTGGCAGTCTGTCCAGCCTCTGCTGCATGAGACTGGCTCTCTGTGATTTAACAGAAAGGGGAAGGTTGCACGTTTTTACTGCCACCCATCCTCTCTCACTCTGAGCTTGAGGTGCTCTTTGCACAAGCACAGTCTAAACCCACAGCCTCCACAAACCCTGTAGCAGCGTCCCCTGCCCCACTTGAAACCTTAAGCGAGGTCATGCCAGAGCCAAGGGTAGGAGGTAGAGATAGGCAGGAGACAGAGAGGTTGAGGAGGGATGCAAAATCTTCTCTTTCAGTAGCCAGCTGTAATAAGGTCTCAGACTCATGCATCTTCCCTTGCATCCTGGCCCTGAACACTGCTCTGGCCATGGGGAAGGAGTCAAGATCCCATCTCCATCGCCTCCTCCCCTGTCTGCATTCCCTTTCAGATGAGAACCACATCGGAGCAGGTTATTTTTGTGCTGGCAATTGTCGCCTTCTCAATTGCCTTCACGGTGCCTGTGGCGCCTGCTCACTGCCTCCTGAGAGCATCTGCCAGGCTGAGGTTCCCCCTCAGCCTCCACTATTTAGAGGAAAAAAACAACCCAAGGAAGGTTTTGTTTTCTCAGCCCGGCCTGGATGGGCAAGATTCATTTCTGACTCAGTCTTTCCCCGGACAAGGATAATATCCTGCATGAGGAAGATGGGTTTTAGGGAGGATGCTTCAGCCTCTCCATGGCTGTCCCCAGCACCCCCTGTCGCTGCCTGTCAGGCCTTTATCCTCATTGAGATGCAAGGCTGGCTGCTGCAGCCATCCGCTGAGCTGTCTGCTCCTGGAGGCACCTTCCCCTCATTCCCCTCCTCCTCCCGGGGCTGCCTGTGGAGCTATTCTTCAGCCTCTGCATTTCACAACAGCTCAAAGGCAGATGCATCAATCCTTTCAGGGGATGGGGACGTGAGGAGAATTGCAAGGGGTCTGCAGGCAGGTGTTGGGAGGTTCCCAGCCATCTCGCTAGCCTTGTCCCCTTCCCTGGCCTCAGGCTGGCTTGTGCCTAAGGCTTGGACTAAGGCATGGGGCAGGGATGGGGAAGGGAAGAGGATGAGGAGGGAGGGCACTGGGATATGCTGACCCCAAAGGCGTGCCCAGCTGTGATGCGGGCACACTTCCAGCTACATGCTGCAGCCTTCCCTCAAACAGGGAACAGGGGATGCAACCCTATCTGCTGAGGGTTTGCACTAATTTGGCTGTGGCTTGGTACCAATCCCATGGCCCCACAAAAATGAAGGGTGGGGAGAAAAGGCAGGGATGGGGGGTTAAGGGGTTCCTCCCAGCTTCACCATCTCCACTGGGCACTGAGACGAATGGCACTCCTGTCTTGCATGCCGCAATGGGTTGGGATGAATCAGGAATGGGTCTCCAGGACCCCCCTCAGCAGGGGGGAGGGGTTCAGTTCCACTGTAGAGGGAGGAGGGAGGGCTGGGCCCATCCGATGCGCTGGCTGCGGGTGGGCAGCTGGTTCCCGGTGTGTTATACCCGTAGGTGCCACAATCCTTTGACTGTGTGTTTGAAAGCCTTGAGTCTATACAGTTAAGAATCAGCAAATTAGAAAAATTGTCCTGAAATGTCAAAGGGAAGAAAAAGGCAGAGAGGGACAGGGAAGGATGGAGAGGGAAGAAAAGTTTGGTAAAAGAGAATTTGTTCAGGGGCACTGCCCTGTCTTTGTGCCCATCACCTGTGGGCTGGGAAGAAGGAAGGGAGGCAAGGACAAGAAGGGAGGACTGATTTCACACATTCAGTGCATATCATATCATACAACCGGGGCAGGGCTTTCCTCCCAGAGCACCAACTCAGGCTAACACTGCTGCCATAGCCAGACTCGAGCCCTGCCCAGCAGCCCGAGCCATACTCACAGCAGGATGACAACTCACTGCTTCATTGCTCGGGGGAAAGATACCTTCTCCTTTCTTTCTTTCCTTTTTTTTTTTTTTAATTATATATATATATATATATATAAGTACTTTTTCTCCCTTGTTTCTTTTTTTTTTCTTTTTAAAGTCTTATAATTTTCTGTAACAGCAGCTTCTTTCTGTATTGGTGTGGAAGTTATATAGAGAGAGATATTTATAAATATATATAAGCCAAACTGCCTTACAGGTCTTTGTTTTCTGGGAATTTTGTTGGTTTGCTTTTTGTTTTGTTTTGTTTTCAGTGTTGTATGTGTAGCAGGCACTTGAGTTTATATGAAGATGTTTGTTTGGGAGCTGAGGGGCAAAGGACTTGGGAAGGGGAGAGGGAAGGAAGGACGGAAGGAAGGATCAGGGACTTTTGATAAGTGGCCACTGCTAGCCAAGGATGTCCAGGTAGATTGGTGTGGCCTTGCCCAGAGCATGGAGGATCTTGTAGATCTCCTTGATGTTGAGCCGTTGCTGAGGTTCTCTCTGCCAGCAGCCCAACATGATGTCGTAAACCTCCTTGGGGCAGACTCGAGGTCTTTCCAGAACTCGGCCTTGGGTAATGCACTCAATGACCTGAAAGAAAAAAAGAAAAAGAAACACTGAATAAAAAGCTGGGCAGTTCCTGGATGATATCCTGTCCTGGATCGTGTTCTGTCCCAGATGCTTCTTGACTAATGTCGTGCCATTCTGAATCATAAAACTGCTTAGGTTGGAAAGGACCTTAAAACCCATCCATTCCCAACCCCCTGCCATGGTCTGGTTGCCCTCACCAGCTCAGAGCCGCCCTGGGCCCCATCCAGCCTTGCCTTGGGCACCTCCAGGGATGGGACATACACAGCTCTATGGGGAACCTGTGCCAGGGCTTCATTTAGGGAATGGGAATGCTGAGGAGCCAAGAAGATCACGAATCCTCGTTGCTCACCTGTTTGTGAGTCATTAATGATGGTTTAACATTGAAAAGTTTGTTTCCTTCTGCAACCTTGCCTCTTGCTCTTTTGACACCTATCTATTTTAATGCACCCTCCAGACAGGAGGTCACAAGCAAATTACGTGAAGTTTTAATTGAAGTTGTCAGTACCTTCCTGATAATTGAAGAAAGAAAATAAAAAGCCTTTAAATTCACAAGCTAAATTAATATTTTCGTATTTTACAGAGCTGAAATGCAGTTTTATTTCCCTGAAAATTGAGAGCCCTTTCCATTGCAAAGCCCAGGAGAGTTCTACGAGAGAGTTCAGCACATCTCTTTCTACCTTCATCTCCAAGGGCAGCTTTGCCTCATTTTGCAATAGAAAAGCAGCTGGAAAAAAAAAAAAATTAATAATAGCATTTCATCTCATATCACATCTTTGCTAGAGAAAAAAAGACCTGCAGTGCTAACGCTCTGCTCTGGATCAGGTCAGTGCTGCTAATGAGAGAAATGTGAGCTCTTGGACAGCATGAAATGCTATTCACAAGTATGCCACTGGCATCCCCTAAGTGTCTGTGTTTTGCTTACTGGAGGAATGGATGCAGAGGAAACCATGGCATGATTTGTCAGGGAGCTGCTATTACCTCCTGCCCTCCTTGGTTGGAGCTGATAAGTCCCAGCGTCGCGGAGCACGAGTGACCTGCCACGCTCTGCAGACAAACGCAGAGCCCAAGCAGTGTGTTGAGGGAAGCCACCCAGCGAGGGGTGTTTGGAATTTATCATTTATGAATAGTAATGGACTTGCTGCACAGCTCAGCAGATACTTATCACCTTAGTGCTTGCAAATAAATGCGGAGGGGGGAGATTAGGAGCTGCTTAAAGCGGACCGAGGAGGATGCAGTGTGGAGAAGAGCCTGCATGGCTTTAAGGCTGTTGGCAGTGTTGACATATGGGAGAGGTTAAAGGTAACTTATGGTTTCTGGCAGGCATCCTAAATGTACACAGGAGCCCAGTAGCGGGTCCTGCCTCTCCAGGACAACAGAAGGGCATGGACAGAAGCTAATGCACTGTCTGAGGCTCTCAGATGAAGTGGCTCCTTGCCTCATCCCTCTGCGAGAAAGGATCTTTCTGCCAGCCTTGAACAAACTTGCTAAAAGTGTTCTGGAGACCATGCAGAACCTGCAGGAGGGATTATGCTCACCTTGCTAATGGCCTCACCCAAGGGACTGGTGCTTGGCCAGCTGCTCTGTAGGGCTGTGGAACCACTACTCTGATGCCTCAGTGTGCAAGAGCTGGTAGAGGCAGCAGCTCTGCACACTTCTCCAAAAGAGTGGTGCTGCACTGGCATGGGCTGCACAGGGAGATGGCAGAGTCACCATCCCTGGAGATGTTCAGGAAGTGTAAAGATCTGGCACTGAGGCACCTGGTCAGTGGTCAGGTGGGGATGAGCTGATGATTGGACTAGATGACCTTTGAGGTCTTTTCAACCAGAATGCTTTTGTGATTCTATGGTAGGAAAACCAATACAGCTGCATCTGTGCAGATCCTAACTAGCTCTTCTCCTGTAAGACATGGGGTACATTTCTGAGTCCTATTACCTGCAAAGGAAACTGAGGCATGGAGGCAGCTGAGCTCTCTTCCAGAATGCCTCTCACCTGGGTAGGAAGCTACATGTGCTCATTTGTGTTTGTATTTACTTTTCTAGGGAAATGCAAGAGCAGCTCATTAAGTAGCGTGACAAATAAGTTCTGTCGCTGTCTATTCCATTGTTTGTGTCTCTAAAATGTTTGCGTGTGCTACTTTGGGATATACAGTCAGGCCCCATTGAGCACACGAATGGGCAAGTATTAGAGATGTAAAGCAACACCTTGGATTTGCCATCTCTGCAACTCACTTAATTAAGGGATCTGTATCCAGAAAGCAGAAAATGTCTGTTTCTCATTACAAAAGGTGAAATTTCTGAAATCCATTAGATACACAGTAGGATGAAAATTTGCAAGGTTCCCACGCACTGCTCTGTCAATGCATCTTGCTCCTCTTCCATCATACCCCCTGCTATTCCGAGCAAAAATCTTCCAAAGCATTTCTGCTGATGTGCCTCAAACCTCAGCTCTGACACTGCTAATGCTAGCCATCCTTCCCTCAACTTTTTTTACAGCGCAGCCCTACACTGATGGATTGCAGCTTTTATTACTTAAAGAAATAACAAGGACAAACTATCCCCCCCCTTGGGTCCCATCCTCAGTGAACAGGGGCAAACCATAGAATAGGTATCCCTGTGACAAACAGACCCAAAGAAGTGTGCCATGTGCCATCTAACGTGCTTCAAACACTTTGTCAGAAAATGAAGAATGCAGTAAGAGCTTCAGGTATAAAATAAGGTGAAGGAGAGCAGAGGACATGCAGAGCATCACACATCCCAGCAATAATTTGTGTTTTGCGTCAGCACCCAAGATGGCTATTATGGAGGTATGTCAGGAATTTGGAAAGCAGAGACCAGGGATGACCCATGGCTTTGGTAGAGCTCTTTCATTCCTGCATGCCTCAATTTCTCCAGCTCTCAATGGAGATAATTTTCTCCTGTAAGAAGACAGGCTGAGGGAGCTGGGCTTGTTTAGCCTGGAGAAAAGAAGGCTGCAGGGTGACCTCCTCCTAAAGGGAGCCTACAAACAGGAGGGGAATCAACTCTTTGAAAGGGTAGATAACAGCAGGACAAGGGGAAATGGTTTTAAGTTGAGGGAGGGAAGATTTAGGTTGGATGTCAGGGGAAAGTTCTTTACTATGAGAGTGGTGAGGTGCTGGAACAGCTGCCCAGAGAGGTTGTGGATGCCCCATCCCTAGAGGTGATCAAGGCCAGATTGGATAGGGCCCTGGGCAACCTGGTCTAGCATTAAATGGGGAGGTCGGTGGCCCTGCCTGTGACAGGGGATTTGGAGATTCATGATCCTTGAGGTCCCTTCCAACCCTGGCCATTCTGTGATTCTATGATTTTTATCTCTATGCCTGAAAAACAACATAGTAAGGAACTCTCATGGGTGCCAAGGTGGGAACAATTAGTGCATGAGAAGTCTGGAAAGGAGAGATGGTAACAAACACAATTTCCAGCTGAGGTATCTCAGCACTGTTGTACCTCTGTGTTCGAGAGCTGAAACCAGGGCTGCTTCCCATAGGTGAAGATCTCCCAGAGGATCACCCCGAAGCTCCAGACGTCACTCTCCGTTGTGAACTTCCTGTACATGATGCTCTCCGGAGGCATCCAGCGGATAGGCAGCATGGTGTGTCCTCCAACCTGCATGAGGAAAAAGGCATGAGGAGATCTGAGGACCTGAAGAAGCACTCAGCTCTGATGGAATATGGACGGACTTGGGGCCTCCCCATGAGATACATCAACACGGAGCTGCTCAAAAGACCTGGGTTGGATACAGCCTCCCCGACCGCCCATGGGCTTAACCGCCAGTCCCACCTGGTTAGCACGATGGATAGGGAGTGAAATGTATCAAGACAAATGATGTCCCCTCCTCCCCAAATGGGCTTGTAAAGTAAAAAAACAACAAAATGCCAAGGGTGTCCTCAAACCCTACAGTGATGAACCAGGAGGTAAGGCAAGGAGCAGAGTGTTCTGCGGGGTGCTGCAGTGGGTTTTGCAGGGCCTCAGCACCCACCAGAAATACAGAGCAGGATTTGCTGCTCCTTGCTGAGGCTTGCTAAAAGCTGAATGCAAGCCTGTGCTCATCACCTAATTGTGTGAAAGATGTTGTGCTCGTAAAATTGTGCTACAGGCCTTTTTGAAGAGTGCTATGAATATGTAAATGACTGCAGGACCGCAATGCAAAAAGGAGGCCTGTTTGTAAAGAATAGGCTTGTGCATGCAGGGATATGCCCAGTGGTTAATGGAGGTAGGAAAGCCAGTTCTTTGGAGAGCTTGGAAATGGAGGAGGCCAAAGGTGAAGTCCCGTTGGAGTATTCAGAGAGAAAGGTCCTTTCTCCATCAGGGTCTGCAGCCTTTCAGTATCTAGTGGGGATATAAGAAAGAAGGGGGCAGACATTTTAGCAGAGCCTGTTGCGATAGGACAAGAGGAAATGGTTTCTAACTAAAAAAAGGAGAGATTTAGATTGGATATAAGGAAGAAGTTTATACAATAAGGGTGGTGAGGCACTGGCACAGGTTGCCCAGAGAGGTGGTGGGTGCCCCATCCCTGCAGACACTGCAGGTCAGGCTGGATCTGAGCACCTGATCAGCTGTGGGTGTCCCTGTTCAGTGCAGGGGAGTTGGACCAGACAGCCTTGAAGGGTCCCTTCCAACTCAAATGATCCTATGATTCAGTAGGCACGTGAATGCAGCAGGTGAACTCACGCAAACAGCTTGAAAGCAGATGGATATACCTTCAGATTCACTAGAGATTTCTAAACAAGTGTGTCTAAGCAGGGCAAATTTTTTTTCTCTCTTCTGTCCTACACAAGAAGCACCATCTGTGGGGAAGCAGCTAATTGAGAAGCCCAGCCGGCGCAGGGAGCCACACAGCCAGCAGTCCGGCACTTCTTTCTGCTGAGGATGAAGTGGCTGAGGGCTTAGCGGTGATGAGAGATGGGGCTTTTGTGGTGCTGCTGGGCAGCCTGCTCGCCTCATTATGGACACCAAAACAGCAATTGCTAATAACCTGGTAGCACTGTGGCTGATTCAGACAGGCAGAAATCTCTCTTTATCCTATGAAGGATTTTGGGGAGAAAATTTCTAGGATTTCTGCATATGTGTGGCTACTCAAAATAATGAGATTGTTGCATGCTTGTTTGAGTGAAAATCTCTCTCCTACAAACAGAACACTCTCCCAAGCTCCTGGTTTCTCCACATTCCCACAGGTTTCTTTGCCTGATTAAAACTGAACCAGCATGAGAAGGGGCGAGTACAAAGGCAAGCCCCATTTCTTGAAAGCAGGAGGGACAGTGCTGTGGGAGCAGTGCTGGAATAGGCTGTGAGATGGGTCTGATGCTTAGCAGTTCTCTGCATGGAGAATACCAGCCAGATTCCTCTGAGGTCTGCCAGCATTCAGACCTGGGCTCACAGCACTGCGCTCAGAGGTCTGTGGACCTGCTCCTACCTCACAAACAGCCTCCTGCTGCAAAAGAGAGAAGCAGTTCAAAAGGTCTCAGGAGCATCTTTCATTCCTAAGTGCAGAGATACTCAGAACTGCAATGCATGGAGATAAAACTCCTTGCAGCTCTACACTTCCCATGCAGAGTCGCCGTAGCTGGTGTGGTCAAAGCTTGCTGCTCTGAACTCCCTTAATGGAAGTGGAAATGTTCTTTTCTTTGTTCCTTTGAAACCCTGGTTGCAATTTTAGCTCCTTCCTTCATTTCTAGCTTTTACAAGTTGCTTTCTGTTCTAGTGAAGGGCTCCAAGGAAATGTTATCGATAGAACACGACATACATCAAACTTGATTGTTGCAGAAATTGTTTTGAGCTAATGCTTATTTTTTTCCCCTTAAGTAGCCCTAGCTCTCTTATTTTTCCAGCGGTCTCAAGATGATTACTTATTACAAAGCTCTCTACATTTGCAATATCCTGAATCTTGGAGAATCACCAGAGATTACAGCTAACACAATGCATTGAGCCCATCTCACACTCTTTTGAACCGATCTAGTGGCAATCACAATCTATGAACCAGATCCTCAGCCTACACAAGCAGCTCAAGCAGTACTGCCTGCATGGGAATGCCCTGAGTCACACCACTTGAGAGTGGCCCTGAAAGTAGCACAGAAGCCAGTAACCCCATCTTAGCTGTAATAAACTATAATGCAGTCGAGGTCTTTCATCTCCTCCACACACATCTGGGTGACAAATTGCCAGTAAAGCGACATGCACAGTCAATAGCTGTCCCAGGAACGTGACAACACAATCTTGGCTAAGCTCATGTGGTAGAGTCCAGCAACTGTCAAATATTCATCTTCACCCTCAGTGTCATGTGAGACTTGTCAAGTCTGGAGAGTGTCGTGTCTTACTAAAAATAAATCCAGTAGTAATGCGTACATTCATTTGGTTGGAAACATAAAATGAAGCAACGCCCTGCATTGCTTGGATAACAACATGTGGTTCAGATGTGTTCATCAGTGGGAACCTCAGAAGTATCCTCTGCATCTCCAATAGGGTGTCACATTTTTGAGAGCACATGCTGGGAGATCCCATCCACCACTCGGGTGCAATTCCCAAGGCTGCTACAGATGCAGTGCCCTCGGACAGCAGCACTGACACATCTCTCCCAGAGGCACTACACAGTGTGGAAGAGAGTTTTGCTTTCAAGTAAATACAAGTAAATCCTCTGCTGTTCCCCCTCTTAAGTCCTGATGCTGCCAAGCTCACCCTTTTTCCTTGTTATTTTAATGCTTCACAGACCTGCAGACTGGCCTCTTTATCCCATTGCCATGGCTGTCGAGCTTCACTTGACATTTTTAGCTCTCTAACTTTCTCTCCCTAGATCAACTCCCCATGCCCACATTGACATGTTTTCCCCACTGCTTCGCTCTTTCACTTTGCAGTACTATCCTAGTAATAAATAGAGCAATCAGCACGCATCCTCTCAGCTGCCAAAGTTGCCTTCGTCTGTCTCCATCTCCAAATTGCAATATCATCTCCATCGCTTCCTAACGGATACTCACAAGGGCATGACCTGGGCTACAACCACATGTTGGGTATGGCACATGTTTGGGATGCTCCAGGGCACCAGGGCTGTGCTCTGAAGCCTCATTACATGCTTGAGCCCACAGACTGCGAGATAAGCAGCCGCTCCCTCGGAGCAGCTCATTGCTGTGTTACAGCTGAACCTTGGAGAGCTGGGGGAGGTTGGGGAAAGGGCAGCGTTAATGGCCATTAGGGAGAGAGATAATTACTTAATGCTAGTACAGCAATTTGAAGATGTAAAGCTATATAAGTGCTACGTACACGTAGCATTGTAAGGCTCTAGGTTTGTCTGCTAGGAAGGAAAGTTGGTGTCTAGGGAAAGAGTTCTCCTTGTCCCAGCTTTCTGAATGACATCCGGCTGATTAGGAAGGGAAGATGAGACATCTTCCGCGATGAGCCTGGCAGTGCTGCTGCAGGTAGTGGAACAGCAGTGTTCAGCAAAGGCAGTGCAATATACAGAGAGAACACAGACAATCAAAACCAGAGCAGGGCTGAAAAACCCTCAGGAGAACTTTGGATGCGTGGGAATGCAGCTCTCAAAGCAGTAACAGGTGGGTGTTGGTAGGCAGTCTCACATTCTCCTTCCTGAACCCTACTAGCTCTGGGATCGCACCCCAAAGCAGCCCCTAAACCCTACCCACCATGAGAACCTTGTTGCTATTTCTCTCCAGGAGAATGCACTCAACACATCACCTCTTTCTAGACCTAGTGATAAGACACACATTCCCTGACTGCTGTAGATTTGCATGACCTGGGCTCTTCTTTAATTGAAGACCTGGCTGCCATCCCAGGCTGGGCTGCACAGGAACATATGTCCTAAGAGCTGTATGGTCCTGGGAAATGCTCTGCCCTGACTCCTTCCTTCCATCAGCTCTGGGTCCAGCAGAACTGAGGCAGTTCTGTGTCCTCTCGGCAGTTCACGTGCGTGAGTCCTGATAGATTCCTGGGCACCTTGTGCAAAGCAGAGGGATTAATTCTGACATGCAGACTGATCTGAGCTTTGCTGAACATTAGCTGTCCCATAGTTCATGGCCTCAACTGTCACCTTGCCAAGCTCGTAAGTCCCTAAGTAGTTTACATTAGAGATAGCTGCATTTAAGTGCACGTTGTGACTGGATGTGATTCCCCAGTACTTTGTAATTTCCTTTCTGTTTCATCGGAAAGAAATGCGTTAGCTATATCTTTGACAGCACCATTTCAAGAATTACCCTCCAAAATCCCAGAGCTCTTCTCCTGACTCTGAAAAGCCTGAAGCAGTACCAGCCCTGAGCTGAGGCTGAAGCCTTAGTTGCCCCCTCCTCTTCAAAGCTATTCTAAAGATGTTCCTGCAAACAGTCTCGGCACAGCTCCTGCCTTCAGGTCCTGTGCCTTTGCTGTTCCCATTGCGCTCAATATGGGCTTAAAAACAGTTAACAAGCAGCAAAAAGCTTCTGACAACTATTTCAGCTTAATTGTGTCCGCACTCTGCATGTGCCCTGTACACACCATGCATCACTCTGCACGCCTGCTCTGCTGTCCCAGAATGGCAGACCTGAACCCACCATCAGCCTGCAGCCAACCATTTCTCCCTGGCAGCCTGCTGTCTGCTTCACCAGTGAGCAAAGACACCTTACAGT